ATAGGAAATTGCAATCTGATTTTAATAAGATTGCAATAATATATAATAATATATATAATATATAATAATCTTATATAATAAGAGTGACATGACACAATTTAACTTGGATTATGAACAGACATAAGTGACCTTACATTTGACAGTTGAAATGTTGCAGTATGCAATGATTTGTCAATTAATATGACAACAGTCTGAACATTAAGTAATACACAGTTAGAACTAATTAAAATCAAAAAGTCTATGTTCATTTTAAAGAAACCTTCCCTTATATATTTGCTTAATATGTATTATGTGCAGTTATGGTGAATATAAATAAGCTCTAGGGTATATTGAACGCTGTTATAAGGTAAGTTGAGCTTACAGAAGCACATTAAAGGGATACCCCCACTTAATTTACCAACTTTCTTATTTATTATCCGATTTTCATCAAACTTGGAATGTATGGGTATAGTCAAATTCTAAATTTGATGGAATAATCGATTTTGCGTAGTGCGCATGCGCATTACCAACTTTCTTATTTCTTATCCGAATTTCTTCAAACTTGGTATGTATGTGTATATTCCAATTCAAAATTGATGGATATATCGACTTTGCGTACTGCGCATGCGCATTGCCAACTTTCTTATTTATTATCCGATTTTCATCAAACTTGGTATGTATGTGTATAATCAAATTCTAAATTTGATGGAAATGTTGAATTTTTGTTGTGCGCAAGCGCATTACCAACTTTCTCATTTATTATCCGAATTTCACCAAACTTGGTATGTATGTGTATAATTCAATTCAAAATTTGATGGAAATATTGAATGTTTGTTGTGCGCATGCGCATTACCAACTTTCTTATTTCTTATCTGGATTTCATCAAACTTAATCTTTATTAATTGACAAATATTCTTTTATTCCTAGTAAATATACTAAAAACTCCAGGCACTTTTGGATATTTTCATTTAGAGATGCAGAAAAGTATTTACATCAATGTAATTGCAATAGACCATCTTCGTATGTACCTGAATGTCGTAACCCGTCCTGCATCAGTACTGTTATTAGAACAGTTCTAGTTGTGGGACTTTGCTGAAAGCAACATAGTTTGAAGTTCAGGTGGGCGTGGCACATCCGCGTTAAATTGCTAGTTGTTCAAATCTGGGGCAGGGGCATAACTTGCATAGTCTACATTTGTTCAATAAGGGACCTTGCACACAAATACCTCATCTCTTTGGCCAGTTTGTGTTTAAAGGACAGTTGTTTCAGATTTATAGTTCAAAAAAAGGAACGGGTTTTAGAATTTCCATATTTTCATTTTTTGACATTGACCTTTGATGACCTTAACGTTTGTAGG